CTAATAATTTTAACATTGATTAAATTATTTTTTAAATTTAAATATTTTTAAGTTTAAACCAATAAACTAAAGTATGATTTTTTTTAGTTTATACACTTTTTATATACTAAATCAACTTTCTTAAAAAAACAAATTTATCTTAAACGTTTCATACTTTCATCCAAACTTTATATTTAGAAAATGACATAATTGAACTAAATAACATAAAGAAAACATTGATATATAAATATATTTTAAAACACGATTGTAATAAAATAATATGAACACATCAACTATCATATATTTCACTTATACGAGCAAATGTTACCACTTGTCATTCTTTCTAAAGACAGATCAATATGTCTTTTTTTATATAAATGGCCAACTTTATGTTGTCGTTTTACAAAAATATAGCATTATTGACAAATCAACACAAACTTAAGATTATTTTAGAAAAAAAAAATATATGAGTCGATGATAAGACGTTTTCGCTAGACTCATATTCGATGGAAATTTTTCACTATTATTAAAACTTAAATTAAGAAATAACAATAATTTCAATAATGGTAGTAAAGATTAAGTAATAATTTAGATTTTTTTAATAATTATATTTTTTATTAGGGTGAAGTAAATAAATGGTCCCCGGTTATATTATATAATGTTGCTTTGTTGAGTCTATTAACTTTTTTTATAAAAAAAAAATAAGTCCATCAACTATTAAAAGGTATAAAATAATCCTCTAATTATAGGACGATTTTTCTTCTGTCTCCTTACTATTAAGAGTTATAAATTTGTCACTCGGCTATTCATATTTCCAAACTTACCCATTTTCGTTAAAAAAATGGCGTTCGTTTGAGCTAGACGTTAACTTGTTAGTTGGGATACGATAAAATTATATTTTAATGATGTTTACTGACATCGTCGTTGCTTTTTCAAGCACCGACTCGACAACATAATGGATCGAGCAGTGGTTCGACGACATAATATAAATAAAGAGTCGATCCATAAAATACAGCTCAAACGGTTATGAGATCAAATTTTATTATATCACAGTTAGTAGGTTAACGTTTAGCTCAGACGATCGCTGATTTTTTAACGGAAAAATACGAGTTCGAAACATATGAATGATTGATCGACCATTTTGTAACTTTTAATAGTTGAAGACTCTACAAATCAATGTCCTATTGTCAATAAACTATTTTATAACTTTTAATAATCAAAAGACTTAACAAAATATTATCTTATATAATTGGAAAACCATTTGTGCAATTATTAATGGAGAAAGGTGCAGATATAACTGAAAAGGCAAATGAAATCCCTTTTGACCAACAAGGAGAGCGTCATCCCCATCTTATATTGCAAAGCATGCCTTTCAAAAAGCTGTATTCTTAAGTTTGCTTATTTTCGTCATACTTATTTCCTAATTATTGAAATTGAAACTTTTTAGTCAACATTTTAGGTCAAGAAAAAGGCAGGTTTAATTCTCCCTTATCAACCTTTTAATAAAAGTGTACTTTTCATAAGGCGCTTGGGGCGGTAGAAGTTGAAAGATTAAAAATTATAAAAATTTTATAAAATAAAATAAACACACATGATATTATATAAAAAAAACATGTAATTGCACAAATACGAACACATGTTGGACGATGACTATAATGCATGTGTATAAATATTGTATTTAACCACTCAATGGGTGCTTGTTTAACCTATTATATTTAAACGCCTTATAATCTATATATATATATATATATATAAATAATATGAGATTTGAGAAGTTTGTGACCAAAATGTTATTTTAAGCTATCAAAGATAGGTCACGAACTTAATTAGACCAACGTTGGCACATCAGTAAAAGATAAATTTTGATATCGTGATACCAATAATTTCGAATGTCGACAACTAACAAAGTTTAGGACTCGAGTTTGATTAAATTCATAGTCTATCTTTAACGGCTCAAAATCAACATGTTTGGCCACACTTCTCTAATCTCATATTGGTTAGATATAATTTTTTAAGTATTTAGATATATTTTTTTAGATATATAATAAATGAGTGATTAAAGATAAGACTAATGTGTGCATCTTATCACCATTGTTTGGTTTGTGCTCGTACATGTGCAGTTACGCGCCTTATACATACAGTACACGTGTTTATAAAATCCGCATAATTTTCTCATATTTTTAGTCTTTTAGTTTTTCCCCTCCACCTATAATTATACTCTTACAATTATATTGCCATTATATAAACAAAAACATATGTTTGACATAATGTGTTTTGATCTTGGTGACAAAAGAAATACTAATCATAAAAATAATATGGAATTAATGTTAATCTCGGAAATAATATTTGTTAGGATGATATTTTGATAAATAAGAAAAATCACAAAGGGGAAGGGGGTTAAGATGAAGATAAGACTTTATACCTTAGCAAATAGGAAAGGAGTTGGGAGAGGTGAAGAAGGCGGAACAAGAGAATGGAAGAGTTTGAAGTAGTCATAGGACACGTGCAATTAATTCCTCTTGTGCGGAAACAAAAACGATGGCTATTGAGCTGTTGCAAGTGTACGAAATTAACCCCCCCCCCCACCAAAGAAAAGAGTGGGGAGCCAGTGCAATTAGGGATAGTACTGTAAATCGGCGGGGGAGAGGGGGTTGTTCTAGTCTTCTAGATAAGAGAGTTGACCATTGACTTAACCTCCCTTCCCTTGGCTTTCGTAGGCCATCAGATATAGCACTCTTTTTAACATCTGCTTGTGACTTAGTAGTGGCTGTGTCAAGGACGCCCGTTGAGGCCGAGAACTGGTCCAAATCCTGGAACTGACATTTGCCTGGGAATATGCTTCTCACAAAGCCCAAAACGTGCCATGTCTATATTATTAAAATAAAAAAAAGTTAATTCCATCATTCTATCCCCAAATCATAATCCTAGTTTTAAATCGGTCCTTCTATATTATTACATATTTTTTTCGAGATATAACTCCTAATTTTTAATTTATTAATCGATTAATCTGAATCGGATACTATAAAAGCAAGGGCGACCTTCCAATCAAGTTTGCTCAAACGCCAAGATTCGAATTCCTAATCTTACTTAAAGGATTTAATGTCTTATCTTACTAGATCAACCTATTATAAGTAATATTGGATATTTATTTAAAACACATTAAGCACGTTAATTTTGTATTAGTAGCGTATTTAAAATCAGTAAATATACAGTTTTGGGTCAGTCGTGTAAAAGTCAGAAAGCTGAGGTTTTGATTGTCAAGGCAAATCATGTTATGTTGGACTGGGAAAGAGAATCAACAATGGTAGGAAATGACAAAAAGCCTGCACCTTGGAACAAGAAATCAGCCGACAAAATTAACTACCTGTTTTCTTACATGATTAAGAACAATATGCCCTCACGCAGGATTGAACTGCGGACCTTCAGTTTACAAGACTGACGCTCTACCACTGAGCTATAAGGGCTAATTTGAATGTTACGGCCGAATTATCCTACACATCTTAAATTAAACTACGAAGATAAGATGATGAAGAAACACAACATTTTGGGGCACCGAGATTCCGCATTCCATGTACTTCAAACTTTGTTAAGCATATATGTTAGTATTTATTATTCTTGGGTTGGCGTAATTAGTTGAGAATTCATTTAGTTAATAAATGATTAAAGAATTATCAAAAATTAGTTAATTTAGTGAAGGTATTAGAATTTTTTATGAAGATTAAGAGTTCAAATTATAGTAGTGTGAATGAAATAGACTATACTGAAAGAGTTGCACTCATAACTTATAATGGACTTTTGGAATAATATTCGATTCAAATTAATTAATCAATAGATCGAATAATAATGACTAAACTAAATAAACGACTAAAAACTATTATCTTAAATGATAATTAATTTTATTATAATGTACATCTTTTTATATAATTTTTAAATAAATCAATTATATAACATTATTTAAATTGAACATGTATCATGGACTTGGTCAAATTTATGCACGAAGTTAATATATTTGTTCAATCAATCTGTTTTTTATTCTTGCATACGATAACATATTAGTATATTTTAAATGTCTATATTGTGGTAATAATTTTTGTGTGATATAAATTATATAATATAAAATAATAAAACAATTACAATATATTACTTAGAGAATGAGTTGGATTAGAGCTTGAGTGTTAGATTCCAAACTTGGCCCATATTTAAAACGAGCTTAATTATTTTTTCACTCATTTTTAGATTTAATATTTTTGTCAAAATCCTCCCATTCTTTTAAGTGAACCTCCGGATTTTTGTAGATACTTTAGCATTTTAACAAGTCAAAATTGATCACAATGTAAGTCAATTTGTATAAAAATCTTTTATCACTTTACCTATAATAATTTTTTTTTATAAAAATACACATTTTATAAAAAAATATTTTTTATTTAAATCATATTATGGATGTAATAAAATCTATTACTAATAAGACACCCACTGAATAAACATAGCAGAGATTATAATTTGTATATTATTATTTATATTGTAATATTATTTGAAAAATTATATGTTAATTTAAAATTTGATTAGCTAATAATCCATCTTATATCAATTGTAATAAGTTCATGTATGAATTTTAATACGTTCGTTACCTTTTTCAAGTGAAAAAGAAATTATGAGACGTCAAGTCCTTTGAATAATATCCACTATTCTGCCATCAAGCAAATTTTCACATAAAGATGAACCGGAGATGATTGCAGACACATGCCACTTACAGAAGCAATCCTAAAAAACAGAGACACAACATTGGCTGATAAGATCCAAGTTTCCAGACTCATGTGAAAGATGTATATATATATATATATATGAATGTTCGTGCGTGCGTGCGTATGCAAGAAGAAAAAGTGCTTCTATGGACAACTAGGAAGGTTTTCTGGACAAACAAGGCACTATAAAACTACCAATGTTCACAAATAGGCAAGACTCCCTTATAAAAAGGAGAGAAAATCCAAAACAAAATCTACAGCAGCCACTAAATATATGATGATGAATGAGGGGTAAACAGTAAAAACTGAAATTCTGATGGGTTTAGTAAGCTGTAACCTTTGCAACTAAACTTAATTACAAGCAGTCAAACTTGAGTCCAGCATCAGGAAACTAATAGGTGGGTAAGTCAAATACCATTTCCTGCATTAGAAGATTAATAGGACCTTCTTGTTATCCCCTTCGTTATATACAATAATTCCTATTGACTTATAAGAGATGAAAATAGTTTCAAGACAAACCTTATCACACACAGGACATGTCTCACTTCTTTCCATCCATTCAAGAATACACGCAAGGTGAAAATGATGTTCGCATTTTGTGATAATTTTTGGATTTTCTGCTTCATATTCTGCAGGAGAGAACAGTAAAAAGAAACTGGGCTGTAAAACTTTTTTTGCAGTATGCACAGAAGTTCATAAATTGCAAGGGGAAGACATACCTTCTAAACAGATTGGACAACAATCGTCCTCCTTTGTAGACACAATTGGTTCAGCTGGTTTTGAAAATTCCAATTCCTTTGCATCCTCAGATTTTATAGAAGTTTTTTGAGTGCTGACAGCAACTGTTTCTTGAAAGAAACAAATATTTGTAGTTTGCACTGCGTCATCCCTCTTACTGTTATGAATTCCTTGGGCAGCTGAAGGAGTTTGAGGATGTCCTAAAGCTGCATCGAATGGAACTGGAGCAGGAGGAGGTTGGTAAGCATCAGGAACTGATACCTCCAGATTTGTGTCAACCAACAGCCCGGAGGAGAGGGCAGAGGCAGTAGCATTGCGAGAAGATAAAGGCACATGCCTATCGGAGCCTCTTGGGTTCTGTTAAAAAAGGAAGTTCAACTCAACAAAGATAATGAAAAGGATTTCAATACGATGAACAATTTGTTCAACATAGTTCCCTCTTTAAGATCACCTTTGGATAAGTATTTAAGCTATCCATTTATAATAAATAACAAGTATGAAAGCAGACAGGTCAACAAGAAAATCCAATGTTCATTTTTCAGTTTCAAGTTGTTCTAGAGTTTAACTATGGCACAAGTGTATGCTGGTAGAAATATTTTACTCGTGAGCAACTTAAAAACGAGGATCAGATCAAGATTCATGAGCAACTTAAGGGTAATAGAGAATTAACTATTGGAAATATCTATAACCAGTTGCATCCAGACACCCATTTAGTACCATAAGGAAAGATAGAAATGAAAAGGCCCCAGCATTTCAGCACGTTTAAGGCATCTTCATCCTCTCAAGTGCACAAGAGAGTTCAGTTTAACTAGTTTTTTAGTCAAATCATACATTCGCCATAAATTTTGCACTGAGGCACTTAATAGAATATATGGTACCCTACACTAAACCTGAGGTGAGCTGAAGCCAAATTTGAAACATAATAAGTCAATTGCACCATGAAAATGAGGATGAGAAACTAAGCTGAAAAAAAAGCAAAAAATAGAGAACAATTCCATGGTGGAAGAAATTGTACTAACATAATAATATGCCGGTGCACTATTTTCAACTCCTCTAGAAGAGAAACAACAGCAACAACCCCCCATTCCTTTTACTTACGCATATAACAGTACTAGTACTTTGTACATTAGAAATCCACACATCACAAGGAGAGAAATCTGTTATAAGAAAAACATTAAATCACTCTTGAAGATATAAAAGGCAAACTGTTTCATTCAGTAAACCATATTCATGCCAAATGCCGCATGAAAATGTGAAAAATATTGTAGATAGTATACCAAAAAAAAAAGTTAGAAGCAGTTAGATGTACCACACCCATATACAAATAACATAATTTCTGATAGATAGTTCCTGAAAATTAATGAACAGCATGAAGTTTTCTGAGCAAAAGTAAATTCGAAAAGAAAGTGACAAAATTACTTATATCATCTCACTCACAGACAATAATAGAATACACAGGAAATAGCCCAAACCAAAGTCAAACTGCCTGATACTCTTTACATCACATGCTACAAACATTCTTATATTCTGAAAAACTAGTAGCAGAATTATAAATGCAAAAACAAATGCAGCATTCATTTCTAATTGTCAAACACAAATACCATTTAGAAACTTTCCCCTTCCACTCTGTTCAATTGTTCTGTTACAATTCCATATCCAGAATTTCAACATGAATTCATCAAAATAGACCGATCAAGTCAACTGAAAACCAAACCAGATTCTGATAACAGGAGAAAGTAGAAGAGTAGGAGCACTGTAAGTCTGTAACAATCAAGGATGGTCTGAATCTCAAATGTATAATCAAAGCACAATTTCTTCTGGACAAAGTTTAATTAATATATGTGGTGAAACAATAACGAGATATAAAACAGGTAAATTCAGTAAGAAACCAGTCAAGAATCAATTGCCTTCAGTTCTCTTCATCAACTAGCACCTAAAAGATTTTTTAATCAATAACAAATTCGCATGGAAATTACTAAAATGATAAGAGCAATAGAGAAACTATAAAATAATCTAAACAAACAAAATCAATCTCCAACGCAAAACCTATAACGACAACACAAACAGCTAAATTTCATAACGTTGAGAAACAAATCCAGTTAAAATTTTAAAACAAGTCTAGAGCTAGTAAGAAAATAAAATCTTCTGCTTAGTGAAACCCTAGGGATAATCATAATTTAATCAATAAACAGCAATCCAAATTCCAAAATAAGAAGAAAATTGAATAGGATATGCAATCACCTCTAGATTGAAACTTCAACCGAAAATGAATGCAATAATTTTCCAAGCGAAAATTCAATGATAAAATAAAGTTTAGTCATTCATTTTTTTATTGGTTAGGCTTTGTTTCGTGTATGGAAAGGATTTTCAGTGAGAATGAAAGACTTCCCAAATTTCAAGCCTCCTTTTAAAAACAGATTCCACTATTTGCAGAATTTCATAGAAATGCTGTTTCTTAGTTTTCCATCCACGCGCCAAGCTCTCACGTTTATTCCACGCGCCATATTTAAGAGAATAATTTTAACAAAATCCGGCTAAAGACGACGTTTTTTTAACAAAGTCGGAGGGCGTTTGGTGATGACAGTTAGTATCCTCCAGAAAACAGACATTGAAATTTATCTTTTTTCGTAACATCTTCAAATAAAAATAAGACAAATTTATTTAGGTTTTTATTCTTTTCTTTATTTTATAAATTTATTTTTTTCCTTTATAAAAATCACCATATCTAATTGAAAGAAAAAAAAAAGCAAGTTCAGGGCATGTCATTAACATAAACATTCAAGATAGAAGAGATAGAAGGGCGACATTTATAATGATACCACATTCATTCATCTATGGTAGCCACTGTCATCACCATACAAGGAGTGCTCTGAGTGTGCCCTCCTATACAGAGTCATAATTAGGGCTTCTCCTTCCATAAGGAAAAATATTCGTCTCTCATCTTCGATGACCACCATCATCACCGGACAAGGTGTGCCTTTTGCGCCTCCTATATTAGTCATGATCATCACTTTGCTTACCATATGGAGAACGGGAACAGGATCTTCCTTGTCTACCTTGAATGATAATCTCTATCATTTCGTCTAGGTGAGTGGCTACGAGATCGTCTATGACCTTGTCCTGCAAATGTTTGGCAAGTTGATCACCATATAAGAAAAAGTGACAGATGAGAATGTTCAAAATTTAAAACTTTAACATGCTCAAAGTATCGAAGCAAAATAACTTGAAAACGTAATAAAGAACTTCCAGAAAATGCAAGAGAGACAATGATACTGGTATCTACATCTTCTATCTCGCAAGCCTTGATACCTCCCAGGTGTTGGTGTTCTTACTCGGGACTTTTTGCCTGCATTGTTAGGACAAAAGCAAGTTAAAATATGGTAAGATAAAGCAAGCCGTTGATATACTCGAACTAATTATTATTGCCGCAACATACAAAATCTGAAACTTTCTGCACTATTAAAGTTGACTACATAAATTATATAGAACTATGTAAGGGGTTTACACAACCAACAAGAAATTCTAAAATATTAAACGTGTGTGAAAGCCTCAAGTTGTTAGGCAAGAATTTTAAATGACGCATGAAAAGACCAAAACATAGATGAAATGTGTATGTCAGGACGGTATTTCAAAAATGACAGAAATAATAAACAGTTTCTCCAGATACTGCTACTGGTGTGTAGAAAAGGACAAAAAGGGATGCAACCCTTAGCAAAATACTTGAGTTTGAATCCATGAGTTTGGAATGTCGATGCAGAACTCAGGTCATGAGAGGGTACAGGTTGAACTGTTAAGAGCTTAGTTTTCGATGAAGCTATACATGCAAGACCTGCTGCCAAAATTTATCAGGCAAAACTTCTGAAGAAAGCAAAATTTAAGATGAAATTCCTCGCATGATATATCTTCACTATAAACTAACAACAAGATCCTTTGTATGAATTAATACCTTTTCCACAGTGATCAATCCACCTTCAAATACTGAACATCCAAATACTTGATGCAGCAGACTGCACCCTCGACAGTTTCCATGGTCACAAAACCAAATCCACAAGATTCTTTAGTGTGTGGACCGGTGACTAGATGGCACTCCACAACCTAGCACAAAAAAAAAACTCGTGATATAACTCCAGAGACAAATCACCACAACAATCCAGACCCACTTATAATCCTAAGGCGACTCTTGTTATAACAATTTAAACCTTTCTATCATCATGAAAGTTCTACAAAGGCAAAGGAAAGAACAATTTACACCCTTAACATAAACATGTTGAAGGTTCATACTGCAACTTTTAACGCAACACCAAAAGAAATAGAATTACTTGAACAAACAAAGCATGTTATCTCCACAAAATATCACTTATACCTTTCCTTCATTGCCGAAATACTTCTCAATATCACCAGCGGTTACTCTTGTGGATAAGCCAGTAACATATAAGGTAATTCCTGGATTGGCTGCATCCTGAGAGTCGCAACTCCTGGGGCGATAAAAACTAAATCACTACAAACGATTTGAACTGCTAAAAAAACAGAAAAAATATGACACTGATATATTATATGAACCAAGATAATAAGATAAACAAATAACTAAGCTCTTATATAGCTGGACCTAGAGCGACTCCTTCGGGACTTTGGCTGACGTCCACTTCCCGGAGAAACTGGCCTGAAAGTGTCAGTTTGAAGGAAAATTCAATTTATTTACATTGATAGAAAATCCTTTAAGAAAAACTGACCTTCCTTCCCTTGAATATGACATCTGCCAATACAGCCAAAAAAAATCAAAATGTTAACATTAAAATATGCACTCCCTTACCTTGCTAATTTTAAACATTCCTATATTTTCTTTTCATTATTTTCTTCGCTATCAGACATTTTCGCAGGCCGCAGCAACCAAACATAGTAATTTCAGCCTTTTAAGTTATAAAATACTTTTATTCATGATTTCCATTAAAAATTGCATAAAATTTATGAGTTTTTCCTCTTGAATTTAATACTAGAACATAACATACAAAAAATTGAAATCATAACACAGATTCACAACCATAAAAACACTGAAAATGTTTGAAAATATGATAAATTTAATTCTAGACAAAATGATATTTTACTAAACTGGTGAGCCTTTACACATTCAAAATAAAAAAAAATGAAAAAGGAGTCGAGGAATAAAAAATTGAAGATTTACCTTTTTATCCTTAGAGAATTTGCCTGAGTCCACTCAGATGCCCCAACTCGGTAATGGCTGGTCTATGCCGAGGGAAAGACGGGAAATCAACGATGGTTAAAGTGAAAATAAATAAAATTGGGAACGTCAATGATTAAATAATATGGCACGTGTTATTCACGTGTTTATACCGGACGGATTGGGTACTTGGGCTTATTCCGGGTTTGAGAAATAAATTTTTATAAAAAAAGATTAAGGTGAAGATTAATTTTAATTTATAGGTTATAATAGAAGTTTTTAATAAATTTATAAATTATTGAATATTAATGATAATAATAAGAGGAATAGAGTGTGCTGATTGAATTTAGTTTGATTTTATTATTGATATAATACATAAAATAATGTGAAATTACGTGTCAAAAAGAATTGTTACATGACGATTTTGTTTAAAATTAATGAAATGACTTTACTTTCGCAATAACATTTAACTTTTTCTTAAAATAATCATTTAATAGTCTTAAAATGTTATATTTTTCTTATTATCTACCTAAATGTCTGTAGTGATAAAAGTATGAGTGAGAGAGTTAGAGAAAATCTGATAGGTAAAAAGTCATTTGGTGAGGAATGGACGGCGTTTGTCGATAGTCTTAGCAAGAGAGTCTCTAGGAGAGCAGTCAGGGAACTATTCCATCATCAAGGTAATTTTTTACAGGTCTATATTCTGAATGTTTCCAACAAGCCAAAATACAAGAACCATACATTTGTGTTTGTTCAGTTCGAGAAGGAGGAAGGTTTAAGGAAGGCAATTGTGAACATTAATGGAACATGGATAAATGGTAAAAGAGTTTATATTGGGGCTGCAAAATACCAGAGTTATCGGTCCAGTTTAGCTGCTACTTCCAATACCCAAAAAGAAGTAAAGAAGTCTAAAAATGGTGTAATCATGAGAAGAAGTGAGGGGCCAGAGCCTTCAGGTAGTTTGAGGGATGGAAGATCATACAAGGATCTTCTGGTATTAAATGGAAGGACGAGGGATGATCAGGTGATTGAAGATATCAGTGAGGGTCGTAAGGGGAGGATTTCTGGGATAAGAAATGTGTGGGAGATGCACATTCCTTCGGTTAAATCGGATTGGGTCAAAAGGTCTTTAACAGGGATCATCAAACCTCTCTTTGACTTGGAACTGGTCCAAAAATGGTTTAGCTATTGATGAAATTAATGTTATGATAGAAAGCTGGGCCTATGCTTGGAATTCTTGCATTGTCACCTTCAG